CCCTGACACTGCAGGAGGGCTGAGCCACAATTCCAACGGGACTGCTGCCAACACCCTGACCCACAGGGTGCCAGGTTGGGTTCTGACTCTCAGTGTTATTCTAGTTTACTGCATTGTTTATTTTATCCTTTTATTTTCTTCCCTATTAAAGAACTGTTATTCCCTGCTCCCATTTTTTTTGCCTGAGAGCCCCTTAATTTAAAATTTATAGTAATTTAGAAGGAGGGGGTTCCCATTTTCCATTTAGGGGAGGCTCCTGCCTTCCTTAGCACACACCTGTCTTTCCAAACCAAGACAAACTGTTATTCCTGCTCCCATATTTTTTGCCTGAGAGTCCTTAATTTCAAATTTACAACAATTCAGAGGGGAGGGAGTTTACATTTTCCATTCCAGGGCCAGCTCCTGCCTTCCTTAGCACCCACCTGTCTTTCCAAACCAAGCCAGCCATGAACCGACGTGCTGGACAGATCTCAGCAGGTCGGAGAAAGAATGTTCAAGATCACAAAAAATAAACAACCTCGAGAAGGAAAGCCAAGGAACACTGGATTCTTCTTCACTCTCAGGGCTGGGAAAAAGAGATTTTCCAACACCTGGGAGTCATCAAAACACCAGAGACCCCTGAGCACTGACCTCGCAGCCCATGCGGAGCCGGAAGCCCTGGTCCTCGCGGGAGATGCCGCCGATCACGGCCACGGTGCGGATGCCCAGGGGTTTCCCAAATTTGATGGTTTCCTCCTCAATCTGCTGGGCCAGCTCACGGGTGGGGGCCAGGATGATGGCGTAGGGTCCCTGGTCTGATTCCTCGATGCTGCAGGATGGCAGGAGATGGTTGTGTCACTCACAGTGCCACGTGTGTGCCCTCCAGCATCACCCCATGCCATCCACCATGTCACCCTGTAACCGTGCCTCAAGCCCCTGACAGTGTCACCCTGTCACCCCATCCTGTCACCTCCACAGTCCTGGCCCCTCTGCAGTGTCACCCTGTCACCTCCACTGTCACACTGTAACTGTGCCTCAATCCCCTGACAGTGTCACCCTGTCACCTCCACAGTCCTGACCCCTCTGCAGTGTCACCCTGTCACCCCATCCTGTCACCTCCACAGTCCTGGCCCCTCTGCAGTGTCACCCTGTCACCTCCACTGTCACACTGTAACCATGCCTCAATCCCCTGACAGTGTCACCCTGTCACCTCCACTATGTCACCCTGTAACCCTGCCTCCATCCCCTGACAGTATCACCCTGTCACCCCATCCTGTCACCTCCACAGTGTCATCCTATCCTGACCTCTGTGCAGTGTCCCCCTGCCACNTGGTTTTAACAATTTTATTTTTAAAAAAAAAACAATTTTGAAAAGTAAACTGGGAGCGGGAGATGGGATTAGGATTATTTTCCCGTCATTCAGCTCCATTAATTATCCCATCATAAAGGCAGACAAGCACCCATGGAAACAATTATCAATTTTGTGTGAGGAGTTACAAACTGCAAGAGTTTGAATAGAATGGTAGTGAATTTGTCACAGGTTGAAAATGTTGAATTTTGGGGTTTTTAGAATGGGGGTTCAGGAGGCAAGATGGAGGCTTGTCCAGTCTTTCTCCTTCTCCTTGGCCTCCATCTTCTGCTGTGATGGTGGCACTTTTGGGTTGGTTTAGAGTAGAGACAAACTGTCTAACACAGGTGATAGGATTGGAAAATTATTGTAAATAATGGTTTTAGTATAAAAAGATAACACCACCCCAAGGTGTTCAGTGTGCCATTGTTCCAGACTGCAAGGCAAGATGTGTTCTATTGCCATCTGTCTTTTGTCAGTGGGCAGTTTTCCTTATCTCTTCCACAATCACTCCTCCCTCAGGAGGGGACATCTGATAACAGCTATGGGATGTCACTACAAGGCTGATAAGAACTGCAGCATCCCATTGGGAGATGTGAGCCCAGAGGGAGGAGCCAACATTGCTACCTGGATATGATCTGAGATTTCAAACATTCCTACCTGGATACAATCTGAGATTTCAAACATTTCTACCTGGATATAATCTGAGATTTCAAACATTCCTACCTGGATAGAACCTGAGATTTTAAACATTCCTACCCAGATATAATCTGAGATTTCAAACATTCCTACCTGGATATGATCTGGGATTTCAACCATTCTGACCTGGATACAATCTGAGATTTCAAACATTTCTACCTGGATACAATCTGAGATTTCAAACATTCCTACCTGGATACAATCTGAGATTTCAAACATTCCTGTCTGGATACAATCTGAGATTTCAAACATTCCTACCCGGATATAATCTGAGATTTCAAACATTTCTACCCGGATATAATCTGGGATTTCAAACATTCCTGTCTGGATAGAACCTGAGATTTCAAACATTCCTGTCTGGATACAATCTGAGATTTCAAACATTCCTACCCAGATACAATCTGGGATTTCAAACATTCCTACCTGGATATAATCTGGGATTTCAAACATTCCTACCCAGATATAATCTGAGATTTCAAACATTCCTGTCTGGATATAATCTGAGATTTCAAGCATTCCTACCCAGATACAATCTGAGATTTCGAACATTCCTACCTGGATATAATCTGAGATTTCAAGCATTCCTGCCTGGATAGAACCTGAGATTTCAAACATTTCTACCCGGATACAATCTGAGATTTCAAACATTCTGACCTGGATATAATCTGAGATTTCAAACATTCTGACCTGGATACAATCTGAGATTTCAAACATTCCTACCCGGATACAATCTGAGATTTCAAACATTTCTACCCAGATACAACCTGAGATTTCAAACATTCCTACCCGGATATAATCTGAGATTTCAAGCATTCCTGCCTGGATAGAACCTGAGATTTCAAACATTCCTGCCTGGATCAATCTGAGATTTCAAACATTCCGACCTGGATATAATCTGGGATTTCAAACATTCCTACCTGGATATAATCTGGGATTTCAAACATTCCTACCTGGATATAATCTGGGATTTCAAACATCCCTGCCTGGATAGAANTTGTATCCACACTTGTCAATGACCTCCAGGATGTGGGGGGGCAGGGAGGAATCCTTCCAGGAGCGGATGGGATTTGGGATCTTGCCCCCCTTGGTGGTGATGCTGTAATCCTCACGGAAGATGCGCCAGTCCCTGTCTGTCATCTCGTCCAGCTTCTTCTGGGACCAGTGCCGGTCATCCCAGCGCTGCTTGGCCTCCTTCTTGCGCAGCTTCCGCAGGCGCGCCCTGCGAGGGAGGGAAGGGGTGGGGAAAGGGAGAGGGAAAAGGGAATGGGGGAAAGGGAAAAGGGAAAGGGGGAAAGGAATGAGGGATGGGGAAAAGGGAATGGGGAAAGGGGAATGAGGAAAAAGGGAATGAGAACGGGAAAAGGGGATAGGGAAAGGGGAATAGGGAAAGGAGGATGGGGAAAGAGAGAGGGAAAAGGGAAGGGGGAAAGGGAGAGGGGAAAGGGAATGGGGGAAAAGGGAATGGGGGAAAGGGATGGGGAAAAGGGAGAAGGGAAAGGGAAAAGGGAATGGGGGAAAGGGATGAGGGATGGGGAAAAGGGAATGGGGAAAGGGGAATGAGGAAAAAGGGAATGAGAACAGGAAAAGGGGATAGAGAAAGGGAGAGGAATGGGGGAAAGGGAATGGGGGAAAAGGAATGGGGGAAAGGGAATGGGGAAAAAGGGAATGAGAACAGGAAAAGGGGATAGGGAAAGGGAGAGGAATGGGGGAAAGGGAATGGGGGAAAAGGAATGGGGGAAAGGGAATGGGGGAAAGCAAATGGGGGAAAGGGAAAGGAGAGAGGAAAAAGGGAATGGGGGAAAGGGAGAGGGAAAAGGGAGAGGGATAGGGAAAGCGGAATAGGGAAAGGAGGATGGGGAAAGAGAGAGGGAAAAGGGAATGGGGAAAACGGAGAGGGGAAAGGGAATGGGGGAAAGGGAAAAGGGAAAGGGAAAAGGGAATGGGGAAAGGGGAATGAGGAAAAAGGGAATGAGAATGGGAAAAGGGGATAGGGAAAGGGAGAGGGATGGGGGAAAGGGAATGGGGGAGAGAGGAGAGGAAAAAGGGAATGGGGGAAAGGGAATGGGGGAAAGGGAATGGGGGAAAGGGAATGGGGGAAAGGGAATGGGGGAAAGAGGAGAGGAAAAAGGGAATGGGGGAAAGGGAGAGGGAAAAGGGAGAGGGATAGGGAAAGGGGAATAGGGAAAGGAGGATGGGGAAAGAGAGAGGGAAAAGGGAATGGGGAAAACGGAGAGGGGAAAGGGAATGGGGGAAAGGGAGAAGGGAACGGGAAAAGGGAATGGGGGAAAGGGATGAGGGATGGGGAAAAGGGAATGGGGAAAGGGGAGTGAGGAAAAAGGGAATGAGAACGGGAAAAGGGGATGGGGAAAGGGGGATGGGGAAAGGGAGAGGGAAAAGGGAATGGGGGAAAGGGATGGGAAAAGGGAAAGGGAAAAGGGAGAGGGATAGGGAAAGGGGAATAGGAAAAGGAGGATGGGGAAAGAGAGAGGGAAAAGGGAATGGGGAAAAGGGAGAGGGGAAAGGGAATGGGGAAAAGGAAATGAGAATGGGAAAAGGGGATGGGGAAAGGGAGAGGGATGGGGAAAAGGGAATGGGGGAAAGAGGAGAGGAAAAAGGGAATGGGGGAAAGGGATGGGAAAAGGGAGAGGGAAAGGGGAGAGGGAAAAGGATGAGGGATGGGGAAAAGGGGGATGAGGGAAAAGGGAACGGGAAAGGAGAATGGGGAAAAGGGGATAAGGAAAGGGATGGAGAAATGGAGAGGGATGGGGAGAGGGAAAAGGGAATGGGGAAAAGGGATGGGGAAAAGGGGATAGGGAAAGGGGGATGAGGAAAGGGAGAGGGAAAAGGGAATGGGGAAAAGGGAAAGAGGGATGGAGAAAAGGGGATAAGGAAAGGGGATGTGGAAAAGGGAGAGGGGAAAAGGAATAGGGGAAAGGGAGAGGGAAAGGGAGATGGAGAAAAGGGAGAGTGAAATGGCAATGGGGAAAAGGGAATGGGGAAAAGGGAGATGGAGAAAAGGGAGAATGAAACGGGAATGGGGAAAAGGGAATGGGGAAAAGGGGAGAAGGATGGAGAAAGTGGGATGGGGAAAATGGGATAGGGAAATAGAATAAAGGAAAAGGGAATGGGGAAATGGGAGAGGGAAAGGGGGATGAGGGAAAAGGGAATGGGGTAAAGGGGAAAGGGAAAAGGGGATGGGGAAAGGGAAAAGGGGATAGAGAAAAGGGAACAGGGAAAGAGGAAAGCATTATGGGGAGAAAGTGATAGGAAACAGGAGATGAGGGAAAAGGGAATGGGGAAAGTGGGATAGGAAAAGGAGAATAAAGGAAATGGGAGAGGGAAACGTGACAGGAGAAATGGGGATAAGGACAGACAGATGAGGGAGGGGGACGAAGGAAGGGAATGAGGGCAGGGAAAGGAAAGGAACAACAAAAGGGAGTGAGGAAGGGGAAGGAGAAAGTGGATAAGGCTCATCCTGTGCCTCTAGAACCCTTCTGCCAATTACCTGCAGGACCTGCTGCAGCCCAGCTCCACATCCCAACCAAGCTAAGCCAGCCATGACCCCACACACCCCTCAGCACCCTCCCAGCTTCCCCAAAACCTCACTCCTCCTGCTCCTTCTCCTCCAGCGTCCTCCTCTTCTCCATCAGGTCCCCGTAGAAGCGCGACTGCTCCCGTTTCTGCTGCTTCAGGTCGATGCCGGCGATGAAGCCACGGCCCAGCAGCTGCACCTGGTGCCTCTCCTTGTACCTGGAGCAGGGTGGGAGCATCAGGAGCAGGCCCTGCCCCCCCACAGGGACACCCCCAGCCCTCGGGGCACCCCAGAACTCACAGGGGGTTGTAGTCAATGGAGGTGTCCTCTGATGCATCCCACTCGAACACGAACTTGCGGTCGTTGAGGTGCCGCGTGCGCCGCCGCTTCTTCACCCCGCCCAGGTACCGCTCCTGCAGGACCCCAGGCTCAGTGGGACCCCTCCATCTCCCCCCCAGCCCCCCTGGATCATCCCCCAACCCCACCTTGATGGCGTGGAGCTCTTTGCTCTTGTCCTTCTCCTCCCGGATCTTCTGCCTGCCCTCCTCATCCTCGGTGCCGTTGGTTTCCCGCTCCAT